CCCCAAAACCCCAAAACCCCAAAACCCCAAAACCCCAAAACCCCAAAACCCCAAAACCCCGTTTTGGTTGGGGAATGTTGATATGGAAATTTAGATGTTGGTATCCTGGTATGCATCAATGTACTCTCTAGGACAAATTCAGACTGTAAAACCTCCTTAATACGTGTAGAGGCTTTGTTATGTCCTCAATTAAGCCTAGTAAAATTCATTTGTGTCTAGTCTAAATTTAGGAGTAAAAATCTAACATTCTTTTCCAAATGAAAAGTTCTTTCTTCTTTGTAAATCTTTGTTCGCTATTTCTCATTTGAGAGAAGAAGCCTTGAGAGTGTTTAGAGGTGTTCTTTTAAGAGCTGATATTAAGTCTCAAGGAGCAATAGCATCAGAAGCCCGTTGACTGTTGGAAGGAGTTGAGACAAAACAAGGAGTTTGAGGAATACTTGTCTTAAAATCTTGGTCGCTAATCATACCTTTTTGTAGATGAGATTGAGCCGTTGATATAAAATTGTAATCGATGAATTCTGGCTGTCATTTGTGTACAGGTCTAACAGCTGACTTCTGGAGAACCTGAGCTTCATCATCTTCAATAGAGAAAGCTTGATCAGCATCGATATCACCATTCATTATTGGTGGCTCTTCAAGATCACATAGGAACTCCCTTTTGAGTTCTTGCAAGGCAAAGAATTGCTTTGGATTCAGATCTGGATTAAGTAACTCTTGGTTTATCCGATCTATGAATTCTTTAGTTGTCTTTATAGCACTGAGGTTGAATTTATCTCTAAGACTGTCAACATAGTCAAGTATCTCCTGATCAATTATGTACTCATACAAATCATCAGCTTTTATGGCTTGGTGAGTATCAGGATTGGTATTTTTAGGGAGTTCTGATTTAAATATGCCCAGATCATCAGGGATATCAAAAACTTCTGGATTACTTGTGTCCTCGCCATAAATACTTTGGAAATGATGATTAAAGCTATTATTGCATTGCTTCTCTGTAGAATTCTTTCTTGCTCCTCTAATGTTCTTTCCTATATCATGCTTCCTTTTCTTCTTCTGTTTTTGGTTTTGTTTTATTGAACCTAAGAACTTGTGAGTTTTAGTATCATCATTATCTCTTAGGCCTTTGTTCCGGTCCAAGCTTTCAGCACGGATCAGGCTCTTTTCAAGCTGAGTTTTGTTCGGGCTTTTAAGTAGGATTTTAGGTACCAGTCTGATCCAGGAACGACTTCTGCGTAAAAGTCAGGTTCAAAGAAACCTGGGATATCTGGGAAGGAACTTTCTCAACAGGGATGTTTAAACTAGGAATTTTAGGACCAGGCTTCACTGAAGAAGCTGGCTTTGAATAGGCTGAAGAGAAGGGAAGAATCTTGTGACCATGCTTGTTGTTTTGGACTGTGAATTTGTGCAGTTTTTGACTGGATTTTTTACTGATGAAGTGCCGGATTTGGGTGAGTTTTTGGCATTGTTTTTGAAGACCTCTTTTAGACTTATTTTCGTGGTTTTTGTTGGGATTTCTTTTGGTTTGAGATACCCAGTTGTTTCCTTCGTACTCTTTCTATTGATTTGGGGTTATTTTGAGGGTTTAGACTTCCTAGTTGGGAGTAAGGCGAATTACTGGTGCTGAGTAGGATATCAGCAGATTTGTTCAGATCGGGTTGGTTCTTGAGTGTAAGGTTATAAGGATCAAATTCATTGATTTTATTTTAACTTCTCTTTGGAAGTATTTTTCATCACAGAGTTTCTCTTATCAACGAAACCAGTCTTCCTTGTGTTTCAAGAAGTATTTTTCTTCTTCATTAGGGAGAAATTATATTCAAATGGCTTCTGGATTACTCCAAAATGTTCAGTATTTCTTTGTTCCTTCATTTTCGAGTAAATTCCGACGTATTTCTTTGGTTGTGTTACTTTCTTCTTAGGCATAAGTCCTCCTGATGAGCTTGGAGTTATCTTATCACTTTTCCCTCCTCATTTCTTAAGACATGAGGGAATATCTCTACTTGGAGGGGTTGCTGATGATCTCTTATAAGGGGGTTGTAATCATTCTTGGCTGTTAATAGCCATTTTCTTCCCTCCGATATGTTCTACTGACGGAAACAGTATGTTCTTTCCAGTAATCGTGGGTGTTACAGTGTTCTTTATCGGGAGAAATTTCATTGGATTTCTTGAATTTGGTAGCATCTCTTATTTTTAAGCAATTTTAAATTTTGTTTTGAATATTTTTCTGAAAATCCAATATTATTTAATAAATCTGGGGTTTTGGGGTTTTGGGGTTTTGGGGTTTTGGGG